TGGTTCTATGTGTTCTAGAATTAAAGAATCAATTTATAAGGTTTTTACAAACATAGAAAAAGTTGACACATCCACTCTAATATCTGTAATAAATAATTGGAAGGAATCAGAAGATGTTAAGGAATGTTTGAAAGCCTTAATCCTAATGATGATGAAAGCCACTCAAACATTGAAATTATTAATCTACTTGTGTGAAAAAGATTGAATGTGACCAATAGGCAAATGGCCTTTACTAGAGCTGTTTGCCATTGTATTCTAAGTTCTGAACATGAAGGTGTTAAGATTGATCAAACATATATTCTTGATAGAATGCGAGGTTTTCTTGTATGTATTATTTCATTTATTTAAATTATTATTTTTATAAAATATAGATGCTGTTACAATCACCTTTGCAAACACTTTGCTTTTTTTTGGGGGTTTATAACATTATAAAATCTTTGATATTATTATTATATTTAGCAGGGATATGATCCAACATCATCTTCTAATGCAGAGTGATCAATAGTGTACATATAATATAATTGCTTCATATACTGTACATAATAATTATTTTATATTATTAATGTTTTCTTCGTATATTTATGAATTCGTTGTTATAATTACAATAAAAATATAAATAATAAATGCATTCAAAGTTATAGAAAAATGCTTTTTATAAATGTAATTTTTTTACAAATCAATTTATAATTTTTATATAAATTTTACAAATTTATAATTTTTATATAAATCTACAAATTTATAATTTTTATAAAACTTGAATTTTTTTAAATATGTCAAATAAAAGAGACCAATTAACAACAGGAGGATCTTCTTCTTCCAGTAATGACTACAATAACAATGATCTACCTCCACCATACTCATCAAATGTGGATTATTCTCATGGAGTTATAGTTGAAGAAAGTATACAACCTTATCCTGAAGTACCTTATAGGCACACACCAAATCTTTCTTACACACCGCCTCTTCCACCATCCACACCATTATATCAAAATTATTCAAATGGTCTAGTTAATCCAGGATATTTGGCTGATACGGTTATTTTGTCACAACCTGTTTCTATTAAAGAATTAAAAGACGAACCTACGATGACAACTTGTCCACATTGTAATGCAATCGTATTAAGTCGTGTCAAATTTGAGCCAGGTTCCGCTACTTGGTTAAGTTCTTTAGGCTTATTTTTCTTCGGAATTACTTCATGTTGTTGTTGCTTAGTCCCATTTTGTGTAAGTTTATATTATTATTATTATTTACAGTTATTATTTATTCAAATTAAATTCTTAAACTCATTTTTAATTACTTTAGATTAACGATCTCAAAGACTGTATTCATTCATGTCCAAATTGTAATAAAGCCATGGCAAAATATTCAAGACTCGAAGGAAAAGTGTATAAAGCAATTCATTAATGTCTATATATTATTATTCAATGATAGTTTATTTTCTTTAATTTATATTTATTATTATTTACATTAATTATCATTATCTCAGGTTATTTATTATTAAGGTATATGTATTTAAACCTGAAATACATTGCATGTTTATGTTGAAATCCTATATTCATAATTTAATAAAATTTTATTAATCCGAAAATTCAAACTTTAAATTTTCTTTCTATTATTATTGTTATTATTATTATCACCACCGCTCTTACTACCACTCTTACTATTGCTACCACTCTTACTATTACTACTATTCTTATTATTGATATCTGGTTTGATTATATGAAATTTCTGATTGGTTCCAATTGATTCAATCTTTGACACTAAGACCTTTTCAATGTTTTTATTTATAGATGCAGTAAATTTCTATTGATTATAAAATATTTTATATTTATAAATATTAAATATTAATTATTGAATAAAGTGAAAAGTAACGATAATCTAAATACCTTTTGCAGTTTTCTTTGTTTTATTAAAGATTGTTTCTTTGGTGCAATTACTTTAGCTATAAGATTATTATTATCATAATAATTGATCATGTTAAATTAATCTTTCATATATTGAACAAACTCCTATCAATTAATTGATTAAGATTACTCTTACATCCTTTTCTTAAATCATTGCTTTTAATATTCTTTCGATCATTTTTCTTTTTGTTAATTGCTAATGTTTTTTTAGAATTAAGTGGTTTTTGTGCCATTTTTTTTTTTTAAAAAAAATATATCAAATCTTCTGTGTTACAGTGTTGTTTGAAAAACCTCAACAGATCAAATTTTTTTAATCGATTAATAAAAAATGGCTTTACGTGTACCAAAGAGTAGTTATCCTCAATTGTTTAAAGATGGATACAAGGTTTTTCTTTACGATATATAATAATTATAAAAATTAATAAAAAAATATAAAATTTATATTAATACATTCATACATGTATATATGTATACATATTATGTATTTTTTTAAAAGAATATACAAGGAGTTGATGAAGCCGTTTTAAGAAATATTCAAGCCATTCATGAATTAACCGAGATTGTTAGAACTTCATTTGGTCCAAATGGTATCATTCATTATTATTAGTGTTGTTATTGATGTTTAGTATTTTTGATAAATTCATTTTCTAATTAATATATATATATATGCGCTCTAATAAAATACTAACCAAAAGGCAAAAATAAAATGGTGATTAATCATCTTGAGAAACTTTTTGTTACAAATGACGCTACTACAATTATTCGTGAATTAGAAGTTGTACATCCTGCTGCGAAATTATTGGTGATGGCTAGTCAACAGCAAGAGCAAGAGGTAAATCAATCAATATTTATATGTATACGTGTTATAAATGGTTTTAAATAAAAAGATATTATTGTTTTTTAATGATGATAAAAGAGGTTTTCACAAACCTTTGTTTTTAAATAATGACAAATATATTATTATATTAATGTGGATTTAATTATTACACAAATCACTCCACTCTGAATATATATACATACCATCTTTTACGTTATAATTATAGACATACGCACATATACTATTATATTTGTTTTTGATTAACATCTCTCTTTCTCTCTCTTTATTCACAGGTAGGAGATGCTACAAATTTTGTAATGATTATGGCAGGAGAATTACTTCAAAAAGCAGAATATTTATTAAGAATGGGTTTACACCCAAGTGAAATCATTCAAGGTTATGAAATTGCTAGAGATAAAGTTTCAGAGATCTTGCAAGGTAATTCGTATATAAATAATATTATTTTCGTAAAAACACATCTTGTATACATATTATTAATTATTGATTCAAAACTGTATATTAGAGTTTTGCATAGAATCTGTAAAAGATTTGAAATCACCAAAAGAATTATCAAAAGCTGTCAAAACTACAATATCATCAAAACAATATGGCAACGAAGATATACTTACACCATTGGTAATTGAAGCTGCACATCTTGTAATGCCAAAAAATCCTCAAAATTTCAATGTTGATAATATTAGAGTGGTGAAAGTTATGGGTAGCAGTATTCATGAGAGTAGGGTGGTCAAGGGTATGGTATTTGGTCGTGAACCAGAAGGAATTGTACGTAAAGTTAATAATGGAAAAATCGCTGTCTTCACTTGTTCTTTGGATTTGACACAGACCGAAACAAAAGGTACGGTTTTGATTCATAATGCTAAAGAAATGTTAAATTTTACTAAAGGTGAAGAACATCATATGGAAAAGGTATTGGAAAAATTTTTAAAATTGTATTAAAAAATTATAATATATATATATATATATATATTTTATTATCATTTTTATTCAAAACAAAAGGTATTTAAAGAATTGGCTGATGCAGATATAAAAGTGGTAGTAACAGGATCATCAATCGGAGAATTAGCATTACATTATTTGAATCGTTTTAATATTATGGTGGTTAAAGTGTTATCAAAGTTTGATTTGAGAAGATTATGTAAAGTTTTAGATGCAAATGCATTGGCCAGATTAGGTGTTCCTACACCAGAAGAGATGGGTTATTGTGACATTGTAGAAACTGTTGAAATTGGTGGTGATAGAGTCACTGTTTTTAGACAAGGTAAAAAATTTATTATTAAAATAAATATTTGATTTATGTATTTATTTATATAATAATAATATTTTATATTCATATCTATCTTATCAAATTGATTAGAAAATGAAACAACTAAAACAGCTACAATAATTATTCGTGGAGCTACACAAAATCATTTGGATGATATTGAGAGAGCTATTGATGGCGGTATTAATATAGTTAAAGCCATTGGCAGAGATAATCGTTTAGTTCCTGGTGCTGGCGCAACTGAAATGGAATTGCTTAAACAATTAGTCAGTTTTGGCGAGGTAAGAGATATATATTTATTTATTTATAAATCTTTTTTTTTTTTTTTTTTTGATATTTAGTAAAATTTCTTAAAAAAAAAAAAATAAATAAATAAAAGAAAACACCTGGATTGAATCAACATGCAATAAAATCATATGGTGAAGCATTTGAAATTTTTCCAAGAACGATAGCAGAAAATTCTGGATTAGATGCTACAAAAGTTTTAGCAAAACTTTATTCCATTCATTATAATGCTGATATTGCTGCTGGTACTACTACCACTAAGACAACAAAAGGAAGTGATACAACAATAGATGATGTTGAAGGTTGTAAAGACGAATCACAAGATGCTAAAAATTATAATCGATTGATAGGTGTAGACATTGAAAATGAAGAAGATGGTGGAGGTGTTTGTAATGTCGTGGAGAAAGGAATTTTAGATTGCTATGCTAGTAAATTGTGGGCCATTAAATTTGCTACTGATGCTGCTTTAACTGTGTTAAGAGTTGATCAGGTATTTCTTTATTTTTCTTAATTATGATTAAGTAATTAATTAACTGGGTAGGTCGATTTGTTAATTTTATATTTTGTAATGTATATTTGAAAAAAATAGATTATCATGAGTAAACCAGCTGGTGGACCTAAAGCACCAAAACAAAATCCTAATTGGGACGAAGATTAATTTTTTAATTAAATATATAATAAAACACCAATGTTTCTGATAATATACTTTTTATTTATTGAAATAATGTTTTTCTGGTGTACTCGCGATTATATATTATTTTATTGAAAAAATATATAAAAATAATAATGATAATGTTGAATTATAAGTATAGACCCTCGGGTGTTCCCTCAGATTTACGATATAAAACCTTTTCTCTTGCTTTCCTAAGATCTTCTGCGATCACTTTCATACGTCTTTCTCGAAGTGCTAATAAACCTGCTTCAGTACAAATAGCCTAAGAGCAAAAAACAGGGAAAAAATAATGATTATTACACAATAAAAACAATAAGTTTTTTAAATTATTGATTAATTACCTTAATATCTGCACCACTTAGATCATCCTTAGACATGACAAATTCTTCAAGATCTACATCTGGTGATAAAGTCATTCTGCTAGTGTGTATATTAAAGATTCTTCTTTTAGTTGTTATATCTGGTAATGGAAATTCTATTTTACGATCGATACGTCCTGGACGAATCAAAGCAGGATCAAGTGATTCTATACGATTTGTTGCCATGACGACCTTTACATATATAATATATATTATTTTATTATATATTAATATAATAATAATTTCATACAATAAAGGGTTCAAATAATAATAATAATGATAATTATGAACCTTAACATCTCCTCTAGAATCAAACCCATCCAATTGATTTAATAATTCCAACATAGTTCTTTGAATTTCTCTCTCACCACCAGAATTTGACTCATAACTACATATATATATAGTACGAGTATTATTAGTATATATTTGATATTTCAATTTGGTATAAAAGAGTGAATAACTAATGATTATAAAGTACCGTTTTGTTCCAATAGCATCTATCTCGTCAATAAAAACTATTGACGGCGCATGTTCTTCTGCAACACGAAACAATTCGCGCACAAGTTTAGGTCCATCTCCGAGATACTTCTGAATCAACTCTGACCCAACAACACGTAAGAATGTAGCTGATGTTTGATTTGCTACAGCTTTTGCTAAAAGTGTTTTGCCTTTATTAAAAAATGAAATTTTTAAATATTAAATAAATGCACAAATATATAAATATTTTATTATCATTAATTTTTTTATTACCGGTTCCTGGAACTCCATATAAAATAACTCCTTTTGGAGGTTTTATTCCCATTTCTTCGTATAATTCCGGATGCGTTAAGGGCAATTCTACTGATTCCTTAATCTCTTGGATTTGTTGCTCTAACCCACCAATATCAGCATATGACTCAGTGGGTGCTTTTTCAAGTTTCATCACACTGACCATTGGATCTGTATCATCCTGAAGAACTCCAACAACAGACATGGCCTACATACGCGTATATATCGTATATATATATCAATATGGATATGCTTTTAACCAACCAATTAATCCAAAAAATAAATAAAAAACAATACCTTGTGATGCAAAAGAATCGAACAACCCGGTTCTAATGAATCTTTATCAACAAATGATAATATGTTGACATAATACTCTGGACCTGTAGAAGAGGAGACTATTGCATGATCATCATCTATGATTTCTTCCAATGTACCAACTCCCATTGGTGATCCACGCAAATCATCAACCCTTATCCTTTCTTCCTATATATGAAATTTAGAAACATCCAAAAAAAAGTTTTTAAATAAATGACGAAAAAGAAATAAACTGATTGGATGATTGATTTAATATTTCTTTGAGAACAAATTCATACTTGTGCTTTTTCTTCTTGCGGTTTTAATCTTTCTTGATTTTGGACAAATTCTTCTTCCATCAATAAATAATCTTTTATACGTTCCATCTTCAACAATTTAAGATGACATCTCGTTGTAGGAAATACTAATTGATCAATAAATTTAACAAAAAACATGATTTATATTTGCCCTCAACAAAATAAAATCAATCATCATTATAGAGTATATTTTAAAGAAAAAATAACTTTCTTGAATTATCAATATCTATTTAAATAAATACCAGCTGGTAGTTTTGAAATGGCATCAAGCCCTCTTCTCCTTCTCTTGCCAACACGTGTAGGAAGTGGTGGTTCCCATTTTTTCTTTTTATCTTTATCCTGAAAAAAAAAAGGATTTAATTGATCGGTAAAATATATCATCAAATTCTTATAAGTCATTGTCAAAAGAAATACAATCATAGTACCTTTTCATCTTTATTCTTATCATCTTTACCGGATCCTGATGGATTAAGATTAAGAGACTGAGAATTGCCCTATAAGTTCTCAAATATAACATTGAATCAATACACAAAATGATTTCTTGATCTATCGTTGTTTGTAAAAAAATTTTTCAATTAAATTTCATTAATTTCTAGATTAGTTTTTGGTTGACGTACCATTTTAAAAGAACTTTGAAATAAATAATGAATTTAATATTACATCAAATTTTTGTGAATACGTAATCTTTAAAGACCTTGTTACACGTACATATGTGGTGATACCAACACCTTCGAAAGATTCTAATCAAACTTTTATTTATATCAAGATAATTGCAAGATTCAGCATTCAACCTGGTAATAAAATGTATCAGAATTAACCTTTGACCACTGAATAAAATTTATGATTTATTGTCTAATTCGATTTTGATGAGAAAATTGGAATACGGGAAGGTGTTATTATATTTCAATGATTTCAATGTCTGAAATAAATTAGTACAATATGAAATAAAGGCTGCTGAAAAAATCTTAAACATTTTGATATTTTGTTGAAATTTCTTTTTCTTCGAATTTCTAATCCACTCGGTAGTATAAACCATATCATATTAACGCTGTTATATTTTCAAATTGATTCATGATCTGTGATAATAAAATTATCAATATCGTTTTCAGAGGCCAGGATTTTGGTTTGGTTAACACATTTTCTACTTGAATATCTTTAATATTTTAGCCAATCATAATCTAGAAGAATAAGTTGTATGGTTCACGTTCAATTTTGTATATATACAACCAATTTTTATTAAATAAAATGGGTATTATTTCTAAGCTAAAATGTAGGAATAATTCCCAAAATAGATAGCTTTTATAACAAAGTATTTTATATTTTATTCTATATAAAAAAAAAGTATTTTATAAATATTTTATTCTATATAAAAAAAAGTAAAAAAAAATATTAAAAAATATTACAAATTATAAATTATAAATTAATCTATATAATATTATTATATTAATCTATATTAAGTTATTGTGATTTTGAATTGCCATGTTATAAACTTTGGCGTATTGATCAACAGCTCCACCAGGTTTATTCCAATCTAAACTTAAAGCATCTTTGATCAATTTCCTCAAAAATATTTCTTTGCCTCTAATATCATTTGACAATCCTTTTATATCATTGATGGCTGTACTTAAAGCCAATCTCATTTCTTCAATTGATAAATCTAACATATCATTTTCATATAAATTAAACAAATATGAATTATAATCGAAATCTAAATCGTCTGGTGATGATGGTACATTATGTGTTTTATTTTTCAAAAATTCTTTTAATCCGCCAGCACCTGTACTAACCACGGGAGCTCCAAATAATAAACCTTCAACTGCCACTAATCCAAAACTTTCTGTTAGACTAGGTACAAATAATATGTCAGCAGCAGCTCTATATAAAGAGCCCCAATTTTTTTGAAATTCAAGATCACTAATAACCACAACATCATCCGGGTACTCTTTACTTATGGTGGCAATTTTTTCAACAGGAAAACTATTATGTTGTCCCATTATTATAAATTTAGCATCTAATTGTGAAATAATTTGAGCAGCATCATAGAAAAACTGTACACCTTTGTTGTACTGGAATCTACCTACAAACAATACAATTACACGATTTAAATCTTTTTCTTGAAGAAGGCCTTCTCTAATTAAATGTTTTTTTGCGTTATATTTTGAAGAGATTACCAGTTTATCATAACGTTCTTCAATATTTCCAGGAATAAGAGCGTTTGGATTGAATGTATAAATGTTCTTTGGAAAGTTTGAATTGGTTTCAATTAATAATGAGTCATTAAATGGATTAAAACTTGTAAGATCAATGCCATTAGTTATTCCAATCCAATTTCCTGTTTTAGCACGTTCCAATATACTAGGCATAATCAACTCTTTAAGATAGAAATCCATCGGTCCTTCCACCATTTCTTTTGCCATTGTATATGAAACAAACGTGACATAATCTGCTTGATCAATTGCTAATGATGATGTGTACATTCTTGAACCATGAAAATAATTTGGCTTTTCAGTTGTGTAATTTTTTAAATCCATAAATTTTAAAATGTTTACAACCTCATTTGAATACAATTGTTCCTCCAAATAATCATGTAAAGTATAAACAATAGCAGGCGGTGGTTTACTAAATCTGTTGTTTCCTTTATTTAAATCCTTGATAAATTCAACTACCAATGCATTTGTAGCGCCATGAATATGTATCACGTCAACACCATGTTCTTCTTGAGTAGCAAACAAGGGAGTATCAACATTATTATTTATATATGCTATTAATTCAGCTACAGCTTTGCAAAAATACAGATCCTTCCATTCTTGAGGTAAACCTGGTGGCGTTGAATATATATCAATGATACCATCCGATTCAAAGGCTAAATTAAAAGGTTCCATGCCATTTTTATCAGGACCTATCACAAAAACCTTTACAGCTCTTGGCTCTGGTGGTGGTTCGTCACTCAATATATCAGCATCATCTTGAGTTACATTCCAATAAAAGTAATTTACTAAAAACACGACTTGTTGTGAATTTCCATATTTATCTTTAACATCAATTGACATTTGAGCAAAACTACGAAATTCATGGTATAACTTCAAGAAAGAATAAAAAGGCATGATTACATTTACATCTAATGCACTATTAGCAGTTTGAGCTTGTGACAATCCTGTAACTATATGACCTAATCCACCCATTGATGCTAATCCAAATTCTTTTGTGACATGAAAAATCTTTGTAACTTCTTGATTTAATTCAGTTGTCACATTAGAAGGTATGCCAATATATTTTACCGGTTGATAATTTTGTTTTTCTTTTGTTTTAAACATACAAAAATTATTATTATTATTAATATTATTATGATTTTACAAATTATGATCGAAAAGTATTTAACATACCAATTTTTGGATGATCATTCCTCGAAGACAATAAGAAGTCGAAAAACATTAAAACACCTTGAAACAAAGCTAAAATAATCATAACCACTATTAAACATGATACACATCTCCAGCGTTTTCTTTCTAGAAATGGTCCAATTAACGGTGTGTGATTCATTCTATATTTTGTCTTAATAAACTGATTATTATTATTTATAAAAGAATTGTCATTTTTTTCATATGGGAGTTTAGCTTCTAAATTCCCTAAAAGTTGATCAGACAACATATTGGTGTTATTATAAGTAGTGGTGGTTTCAGTTTGAAAATTAGGTGATCTTGATCTTGGACGCATTTCCGAAGGGTTCATTTTAATGTTAGATGTTATTAAATAATAGTTTTTTTATTATTTTATTAGCTGCTATAAGAACTAGAGGATCTCATAAGATTAAAGATCCCAATTGATTTTATTAAATTTATTGACCAAATTCGCTTTTTGTTTTTTTGTGTATTATAATAAATCTATATAAAGATGAAATTAATAAAATAAAAAAATTTTAAAGTTTTACTCAAATACACTACAATAATGTATGAAAATTAAAAGTGCGGGATTGTGTTACATGATTAATATTAAATTGACTATAGTCAGTCTCAAGAAAAAAATCATATCCAGTGTTATATATAAATTCCAGTGTGTAACTAATGCAGATTTCTACAAATTTAGAAACAATCTGCAGAAAACTACTAATGTATGATGTTACACCCGCATTGATCATATGGGGCATACCGGACAAAGTGAACATTGGTATTACAGTGTTTTTAACATCACAATTGTGTTACTAATGTAATGTGATCACAATATTCATCTAGACAAAAATAGTTGATATGAAATTAATTTACATCCGATCTACTATGAAGCCCAAGAATTATAGCACCATTAGAAGTATTTTGAAGAAAGAAAAGATGAAAAAAATTGCTCCTTACATTTTTAAATTAGCAGATACCAAATCTTTGCAAACATATTTAGACAAAGAAAGGAATTTACCAAGAAGAAAGAAAAATAATAAATGTTGGAAAAAGAAAGCATCATGATGATACATTATTACCTAATAAAAAGCAGAAACCCTTAGAAGAAAAATAATTTTATTATTACAATGTTGATTTATTTTTTTACTGTCTATTACTACAAAAAAAATTCTCCTTTATGCAAAATGTAATTAATGTTCATTGCTTATCATAAAAAAAACGTTGAACGAATTTTACATTCAAGAATAAATTTATAAGTGTTTTTCTCTCATTGACATTAAAACAAGGTAAATAATCCCACCTTGTATTGGAACATTATAAAGACATTACCAATTCACTTAATTTTCAGGTAAAAAAGTCAAATAACAAATCCTTCTAATAATCATCATTAAACAATTTTATTTTGGTTTAAAAAAAATCAAATAATCAATAAATATTTACACAATTTTCATCCATAATAACATTTTTAAAAAAATGCTTACGTTCAACGAACTTTTTTGTGGATTGTTAATTGGACTCATGCTTGGTTTCTTATTTCACTATAAAACTTACGAAAATCAATTTTATATTATAAATCAAAAAATTGATCGAATAATCGATAATCGATAAAATAGAACCAAGAAAAAGTCAATTCAAAAATAAATCAAAACTTACTAGTGATAAACAATATTCACAAGAAATAGAAAATTTATGGAAGAATTTCAAACAATTATTTGACAAAAAGACTGGGTTGAATCCCGATTTTTTCATTTAGTGAAATGACCATTGAAATTCGTGAATTAATTGGAGAAGGAAAAAGAGTTGCTACTTCCACAATAAAAAACTTCTATCAACGAAAAACAAACCCTAGAAGTAAAACGATAGAAGCAATTCAGGAGCGGGTCAAAAAGGAAAAGAAGAAAGAGGCAGAGAGTGAAGATTACGAAGATGATGAAAACGAAGAAAATACAAATAATTAATAATAATGTGATATAACATATTTGAAAACTTAAAGCAGATTTGTTTAATAAATTGATACCTCAATATGTTAGGAATTGGTAGGTCTTATTTTGAAAACATTTAATAAACAATGGTCTTCTACCAAGAATTCATGGTAATATTAAAAGGATGCCTCAATGGAAAACTAAAATGGTGATCAACAAAAATGTTGCTGAAGTAGTAAAGAATTTTCTGGAAAATTATGCAGAAGTCCATGGCTTACCAAGTCCAGGAAGAAGTACCAATAGAATAACCCAATCAATTATATTCTTACCAGCTGAAATGAGTTATGAATCAGTCCACAGAGATTTTCTAGTTAGTCTGGAAGAAGATAACAAATTGAAATCCTTAAAACATGATGCCTTCAGAAAATTATGACATCAATTGACACCAGAAATTCAAATTATGAGTCCAAGGACTGATTTGTGTGATACTTGTCAACATTTTAGAGA